CAAAGAAATGATACTCTAGGGAATGACACGTGGTCTGAGATGGGAAAACATTACACCCTAGCTAAACAAAGAAATGATACTCTAGGGAATGACACATGGTCTGAAATGGAAGAACATTACACTTGAGACGAGGAGGCTTATTACTTGTCTTGCCTTTTCTCCTTCCCTTCCATTGCCTTTCCTTCTCGTCTTAATCTCTCCTATAATGATAATAATGGTAATAATAATAATAATAATTGATTGATTTATATTGGGCAGATTACCTTTAAAGATCAAGTGTGCTTTACAATTGTTTACTACTAATCGAAAAATTAATACTAATGTAAAAAATTTAAAAGATAGGTGTTCAGATGAAGTTTAAATTTTTCAATAGATTTAATTTCACGAAGTAAAATTGAATAGGCACAGGTTGAGCGTTAATAGTTTGTCTTTTTGCTTTCATCTTTCCCAGGAGATCACCTCATCGAACAAGCTTGAAGAGTTAAACATCGGCTACAATGCATTATATGACATGTGTGGTAGCTCATTGACTAATATTCTAGTCACATGCTCTCAGCTTATAACTTTATTGTTGCAATCTTGTTGTTTTACTGGTAAACTAGTAGAGCCATCAAAACCACTGGCTGAGGCTCTTAAAGGTATGTAAGAAGTACTTTGAATTTTGAAACTCTTACCTGGTTATCAGGGGATATTGTAAAAAGGCACTCAACAATCACATGTGGCCTCTGCAGAGTTTTGAAAGTTAAATGTTTATGTAATTAAACATTTGTATTGATGTTAGACAGATACGGTATTTTCTGCTAGTTTTTCAATAATTAAGGCATAGTTTTACTTTGATTGTGAGAAGAGAATTGAGTGGATAATAACTGTGCTTGGTGAGTTAGAATGCGAGACGTATCAGGAATGTGCGATATTCGCAACCATTCAGCATCAGTTACAGTTTAGCATAGTGAGATTTTATCTGCATCGGTTACAGTTTAGTATAGCGAGATTTTTTCTCCATCAGTTACAGTTTAGCATAGCGAGATTTTAGTATTTAGCTGTGATTGATTCCGAAGTTTATCCATTGTCGAAGAACTTGACTGGCTACCTCCTACCAGCCCCATTTCCTGACCAGTGTACCAGCCAAGTAGTCAATCATATTCTATTTTGCTATTCATTATATATTCATAATATTCATAATATTCATAATATCTTTCTCTGATTTCCACAGCTTCTAGCATGCGTTACCTTTCTATTGCCCACAACAACTTTGAAGGACAAGGATTGTGTGATCTGCTGTCAGCTCTTCCGTGTCAGGCTCTGCGTCATTTGGATGTCTCATCGACAGTGTGCAATAAGAGCGAAGTTGCTATGGCAATAGATGGTCTAGCTCAGTACATGGAGAAGGTAAACTTAACTTGTGCATCTTCGCGCCTTTTTTTCATATCTTTTCTTTTGTCATCAGTATTTCTTAACCATCAGTGTTCCTATAGAGCATGTGCATGTTACGTCACAGCCGCATTCCTCATTAGCTTCTCCTGTTAGACCAACCAAGATGGTGGCTGTTTCATTGTTATTCATATCTCAAGGGATTTTGAATCACATGGTTGCACACACTCTGTAGACTTTTTTCTACTTTAAAATGGGGTAAAATGGGGGATGGGAAATGGGATAAAGACCCCTCCCCCTCCCCCCTCCCTCCTTCAGGATCTTCATCTACAGCTGGGACATTAATCATCATTAGCATATAATTTTAGAGTTGAATATAGAGTTGAGTTGAGTGCGCAGTAATTGGTTGAGTGATCAGTGATTACGAGACGGTAATCACTGCTTGAGCGGGGATTTGGCAAAGCTTGCCGGAGGGGAATTAATACTTAAAGGTTTTATTAACCAGAATTTCGTCATTTCTTTGATATTCAATTCTAAGATTATACTCAAGAATTATGGAATTATTATTAGCACAGGACACAGGAGAGAGGCATGTTCCCCCTCTCCTGCCCCCCTCTCCCCAACACCCATATGCTTAATCAATGAAAAACTCTTAATTATTGTAAGCCTGTAATTGATTGCAACTTACTGTAATCCTTGGCCTAATAATTGTAAATGAAAGACCTTTGGAATCAAGTCTGTCCTTAATTGAACAATTGCTTTTCTAATATTGAAGACAAGGCCCTGTTACAGGTTGAATCTCAACACAGTTGCACACAACGTCAGCTAAATTTTCAACATGTAACAGGGCCTTCATTTTTAAAGGCCCTGTGAAATGTTGTAACCTTTAGCTAAAACTTTTGTGCAACGGCATTTGTCATAAAGTTAGTAATCTTATTTTGGAATTGAATTTTGTTACGCAAAAAAAAAAAGTTACAGGATCTAACAGCATTTCGCGTGAGCAGTGAGCAGTGTCATCAACACTGTGCTCCGTTCACTAATAAAGCATATTTTTTTGACCAATAATCGAGCACTACTATCCTAACTATATAATACATTCACTCATTTTTCAACATTTACACTCTTATTTCTTTCTTTCTTTTGCCACCAATTATCCATTAGTTTTTATGAAATGACTGTTATTAATGTTGCATTCTGATTGGTTAATAGCGCATGCTTTATGAGAGCACGCAGCATGTGCGCGCACTTTCAGTCGCATCATTCCTATCTAAAATAACGGTAGTTGAAATTTGTATTTTATAAAAGAAATTAAAAAAGTGCTTGCTGTGCTGTGTGGAGTCATAAAGCACTTGGGGATTGGCAGAACACTTGAGAAGTGTCGAGAAGCACTACACCTCGTGCTTCTCCTAACACTTCTGTCATGTTTTGCCAACCCACGCTCTTGCTTTATAACTGCACACAGCATGCGTGCGCATTTTCTATTTCTTCAAATTTTAATTTCCTCTCCAATACAGGATGATTGTGCTTTGCAAAACCTAAATCTTAGCAATTGCTGTTTGGGAAACCGAGACATGGAACCTCTGACAGA